ATGCTTAAATCAGGGATTTTGAAATTTGAATCAATAAAACTGGTTAACACCATTCCAATTCTTTTTTTTTTTGGTTCCATATAAAGCTGTTTTACATGTCTTACAGGACTATAGAAAAAATGTGTTACACATGAGATGCTCGACCTCTTGGAGAATATATTAACCTCAAGTTATAGCAACAGTTCAGCTATTGAAGAAACTTTTGAACAAACTAATAAGAGCAAAATAATAATATAAAACAAATTAAATCTTAGAAGAGTAAAGTCAATATAATGAAAGGCATTGGTCCTCTGTATCCCAACAGTTCACAAAGTTAAAAAATTATAGTGGTGATAGATGTGGCTTCCCTGGACTGAATGCACAAGTAATTGAAAGAAAACAAAATCAACCCGCCCAAAATAAAAAGAGAATAAAGAAAGCCAACTTACCGTATTAAAGGCTCATTTTTCAGAACTTTGCAATACCTCGATCCCCATAGAAACGAACTGAAAGAGAACTCTGCAGTAGAAAATATTTGAGGTGAATATGATAACACAAAATCACATTACATGGTTAATTGGTTATTTTTAAATAATGTCAATGTTCTGTGGAACCCAACTAACTACAACTATGCAAACCATTTTCAATCCATGAAAAGTAAATGAGATGAAAAATTGTTGAGTCACTAATTCATTGCCAAAACCCATAATTAGGGTACATAACAGAAGCCTACTAATCCACCATACGTACATTCTCTTACATTCATAGATTTAACGCAGAAATTTGTAAATAACAAATGCATATGTTTTATACACACAAATTACATAAGCTAAGGCATGCATAAATAAATATGGCTTTTCAGCTTACCAGGTATCCATTTAACAGAAGCAGTAATTGATTTTACTTCAAGATCAAAAGTAGATGCAGAATTTAACCCAGCAGCATGACCCTGAGGTGCTGGAGCCAAAGCTCTAAACAGACTGGCATTAATTCCCTGTAAACAGTATTTAGGGAAAAAAATTAGGCATGATAGACGTAACAAAGGGCACTTGCAAAACAACTACCAGGCTCTCTCTTCTTTTGGCACAATAAATACTACAGTCAATCAATACAAGTGAAAAGAAAGACAAAATGTTGCCAATATGGCCATATTCAGGAACTTTGTTACAAAAGGTAAGGACATTCTCAGAGATAGCAAAAATATGGGCAAAAAGAAACTGATAAGGGGACCTTCATGGTTCATTAGCAACACGCAATCATATTCTGATCCAATGAAAAAGTCTCAGCAAAAACTATGAACAGAAACAAAAATTCCAATCTCAACTAACATTGCAATAGGTAGCATTAAGTGCTCTTATTATTTCATACCTTTTTCCACCCCTATTCAATGAGTCAAGTGGAAACTTAAAGCAGCCATAACGGCCATTGCCCACAAAATGAAAACAGTAAAGTTCTTCAACTGAACAGCAAACAATGCAAGATACTCAATGAACCGTCAATTGAACCAATTTTCCACATTTTTTAAAATATATTGCACACTATATCCCTACCAAATTTTGAACTAGAAATTCCATATGTTCAAGGTCTCAAATTTCAGTCCAATACAAATAAGAAAAAAAAAAAAACTCACTTTCTTCCCAACCGCTCGCCAAGCCATTTATACAGATATCAAGCTCTGCAATTTAAAAAAAAAAAAAAAATCGATGTGAAGATTAGAATCTAGTAAAAAAAAATCTAACATGCAATGACAAATTCAAATCCAAAGCCGCATACTTTATCCAATTTCCATTTTTTTCACAAATAGAAAAATACCAACATGATAAATTGACTAAATTCACCTATAAAATAAATCGAAATGTACCAAACAAGCCCAATAGTTCAGAATATTTGAAGTAAGTTCAATAAAAAGTAAAGGATAAAACGAAAAAAAATAAAAAAACCCATAAACTCACGAGTGGTGGAGAAGATTCATAGACGAAAAAGCTGAGAACCTCTGATTTGAGAGGAAAAAAAAAAAGAATATCAAGATAGTATGAAATATTCCTACGTTGGATGTCTGTTTGGTTGGGGTCTGTTAGATGCAAACTGGCTCGAGTCTCAACCCTTCTCAACAGAGCTTTGGTCGGTTTAAGAATCTTTGCCCCCCTTCTAACATAAACGACATTATGCCTCATGAGAGCTGAGATTTAAGTGAGGGGCCTTCTAAATAGACCGTCATAATTTTTCTTTACACCTCATTAACTTTTTTTTTTTTTAATACTCACATCACAAATATCAAATTTATTTTTTATTAAATTATAATTTTATCCTCCTTTTTTTCCTCCTCTTTTCTTTTTTTTTTCTTCCTCTTTCATTTTTTTTATACCCAATCGAATTTTTTTTTATGTTTTTGAAAATTCATGTTCAAGAATACAACATAATATTTGAAAATTTATTTTAAAAAATTATGATATATACAACATAATTTTTGAAATTTTATTTTCAAAAATTATGATATATTTTTGAAAATGATTTTCAAATTTTATGTTATATTTTTTAAAATAAAATTTCTACAAAATGAATTCTTATAAACTTTAAATGTTTCTCGAAAATAGATTTTTAAAAATTTTAAAGATTTTTCAAAAATAAAAATAAATTTTTAAGAGTCTTAAAAATTTTTTAGAAATTTATTTTTGAGAAACTTAAATTCTGTGAAATTTATTTTGTAAACTCTAATATATTTTCACATGTATTTAAATCAAATCAAATAAAATAAATCCAGAAATCTTACTTTTAATCAATGGAAGACTTAAAAAAATTGTAATTTTGGGATTAATTTGATGAATTTAGGGTTAATTTGAGTTTGAGATTGGAGAGAGAAAAAAGAAAAAATGTTGAGGGTATAAAAAGAAAATCAATTATTGAGAGATGAGATATATTTAGTAAAAATAAAAAATTTAAATATAAATTTAGAATGTATTTAATAATTAGATTTATAAAATAAAAATGAGGGTGTAAATAAAATTTCACTAGGGCTTCACTTTAACCCATGTTCTCTTATCGTTAGTTTGTATTAACTAACAGTTGGGCCTTCCCTCCCCACTTTTGGGCCGATCAAAGCTAACTTCAATCTAGTCTTGTTTCTTTGCAAGCCTCCGAACGATAAATCCCGTCTCAGGCCTCTGGACTGGACCATGGTTTACACTTTACTGGCCTTTCTTTGTATCAACTACCAAGACCTTTTCAGCCATTTTAGTTCTGTAATATTTTTTTTTTTTGGCATAATGGAAACCGAAGATCAAGGGACAAGAGAAAAAAATTGCATTGCAAGAGTTGAGATATAATCTTAATTTTACGATGATTTATTTTTTTAAAGATATATAATTTCATTTGGATAAGTTTTTAATTATATAATTTAATATGAGAAATTATTTAATATATTAATAGTAAAATTTTTTAATTTTATAAAAAAGATGAAAATAATATATATTTTTTAATTATTTTTTTTATTTTTTAAAATAGATTATTAATATATTTAATAATTTCACATTTAATATCTCATAAATAATAACAATCATTTTCCAATGGTAGAAGATTTATTAGACGGCTGTCGTAAGACATTTTCTTTTGAATTTTCTTTCTGGTTATTGCTAGGACCTGATGGCTATTTTGGGACCAAATCCAAGTCAATAGATTATCTTTTTTAAGACAAAGTCTAGGAAGTTCATGGAAAATGTCTCAAACGTGTTACAAATTGTACAAATTCCTACCCAAATAAGGACACTGGGCACATACATGCACAAGTCTAAAACGACACAATTTTTTTTTCTTTTAACCCAACCATCTTGCTGTTATATAATTTTTCTTGTAGATGTGATAATGTAAAGGCCTTGGTTGTTCGATGAACGTCCAGCTGAATCTTTATGAATTTGTTGAAAATCCTACAGAAAATAAAGTCCTGTCCTGTCACTGATAGATCTCTGCTGACCTTGAACTACAATTTTTTTTTTTAAGGAAAAGTATAGCCCTTACAATGAAAAAGAAAAAAAAATCTTGAGTTAAAATTAGAAATTTTATGAAGTCCCTTTAATCACCAAACCAAGAGTGGAGGACCTTGAACTACAACTTTTTTAAGGCAAGAGATTCCTGCCGAAAGATGCGTTAGCCAATAGGTGAGCAAGGCAGGCAGATTGGGACAAAATTACTGAAATTCAGTGCTATACATGATTAGGTAATTGACTGCTAGTCTTTTTGGCTCCTCTTTCTTCTCCTCTAACCACACGTTAGTTACCTTTATTTAGAGTTGAAAACCATTCTGATTAGATTAGATTTAATTTTTTTTAATAATATATGATATTATAAATTTTTAAAATATAATTTAAATTTGAATAATTTTTTTTTAAAATTTATTTAATTTGAATCGAATTTATCTGTTTAATTTAATTTATTAGTTTTTAAATTTTATTTTTATATAATTTTAATAAAATTTTTAATAAATTTAAATATATTTATATACTAAATAATTATTTTATTTTATAAAATTTAAAAATATATAAATTAATAAAAATATATAATTAGATTATATTTAATTTTTTTAATTTTTTACATTTTAAAATTCAATCTAAATTTAATATATACATTTAATATCTAATTTTCATTTCAATCAAATAAAAAATTAATTCAAATCAAATCAAATATTATAATTTCAAATTAATTTTTGATTTTTAAAATTTTTTTATCGTCTCTGCTCTTACCCACACCACAGAATTAGAATTAATCACCCTAATAAATCTAGGAGAATCTCTAGCAGTAAAAGGAGAAATGTATTTGACTATTGACGGTTGAGAGAAGAGAATATATCTTGGACTAATGTCACCCATTCATTTCAAGATTAGTTTTGATTCTCTTGATTAAACTTTCAAAACTTGCCTGTACCAGTAATAATTATTTTGTTGAAAGATGTGAGAAATGATAGTATAAGAAAACCTTTCCTCTATTTTATTTAGAATTTTTTTGCTTTTCGGTGGGTCGTTAATTCAGTTAAATTCAGGGTCGCATATTCGGACTTTGAGTCTACATCATGTGTGACAGCCACCACCGCTCCGAGCCAAAAGTTTCCGCTCGTTGCTTGGTCTTATATGGATAATTTTTTTACTTTAAAATACCGAGTAAGACTAATTAAATACTAGTCAGTCGCCCTCCCAAGCATGATCCATAGGAGGATTATGTAATGATCCGATCCTTCGATCTTTCTTTACTGCAACGAAAAGGTCAGCTCAAATTTGCAGACAAATCTTTCTCCAAAAGAGTTGTTCTTGACTTGACCCTTCCTTTCTCCTTGGTTTCAAAATTGCCCAACGTCTTTGAACCTGCTTGTCATAAACGTTCTTGTTTGAAAAACAGGCGCTTCAACATTTATTTGGTTTTGATTTTGAAACGTTTTTGATTGGTTCTTTGAAGTTTAAGACAGCTTGGTCATCTGGGAAGTTGTTTCTACACTAGGATTTTATCTTTTGTTTCTGTCCCCGAATTTTCTTCAACTGAATTTTGGATGTTTGAAAGCTGAGTGTTTGGGAATTTGGAGGGATTTCAAATCTTCTAGCTGCTATCTGTCACTGAGTTTCTCTTGTTGGCAGTTTTAGTGGTGAAGAAAGGTTGAGGTAGTTACATTGGTAGTTGGGATAACTCAGGTTCGCTTCACGAGAAAATTTGGTTTGTCACAAGAAGTGTCAAGGGCAAGTCCCGATTCTCAACTGCTTCGCTGATTGTTATAAGCCTTTTTCTTGAGATAACTGAGGGAGACCTGTGTGCTTCTTTGTTTCCTCTTACATGTCCGTACCGTCTTTTCACTATGAATCATTCTGGGGCAGCAGTTGAAGTAACAAAGGACAGAAACGGAATTGATCAGGTTGTGCTTCGGAATCCTCGAGGGGCATCTGCAAGGGTCAGAACCTTTTTGTCTTAATTTTTTTTTTTCTCCTTTTCTAGTACTTTCATAGTTTATTTTATCAGGAATATTGAACAAGTTGAATAGCTTGTAGAGCAGTCTAAAACCAAGCAGATGATTGATTCTAGTTGTCATTTACCCTCAGTCAAACTGGAATTTCGGCTAAGTAGAAACAACTTGGGTTAAATAGTGATATTGTTGTCTGAAATCTATTCAGGTTAGTTTGCACGGAGGACAGGTTCTTTCATGGAGGACTGACCGAGGAGAAGAATTGCTATTCACAAGTAGCAAGGTAACATTAATATTATCAGGTCTCTTAGTCATATTTGTATTCTGCTGGCATATGATTTTCGTCTTTCGTTTGGTCTAGAGTATATGTCAATAATATTCAATGAAAACTTCCGTTCTCCTTCCGATTTCATGTACTGTAGGCAATCTTCAAGCCACCATATGCAGTGCGAGGAGGAATACCTATATGCTTCCCACAGGTATTTAGGATTCGATGCTTATATGCATCAGTTTTCTCTCAGTCTATATGTGTATGGTTGATGTGTTTTCTTTCCAATTTGTTAGTTTGGTCAGCGAGGATCACTAGAGCAACATGGGTTTGCCAGGAACAGGACTTGGATCATTGATGATAATCCACCACCATTGCATCCAAGTGATTCCAGTGGCAAGGCCTATACCGACTTACTGCTAAAGCCATCGGAAGATGATTTGAAGATATGGCCACACAGGTGAGGTCTTAATCTGCCAGGGATCCTTGGGAACTACTATCAAATTAATCAATGGAATTGCAGATAGTATATCTGTCAAATCGTTTACAATTAAGCTTAGGAAGAGTTATCCTATGCTATAGCAACTTCTTTACAGTGTCAACTAACATTGCACATTTACACTCATGACTTTATAGAAATCTAGCTGGAGATTAAGTATGTTTATATGTGATTATGTATGTTGATGATTGAATTTTACCCTTCTCAGTTTCGAGTTTCGTCTTCGAGTATCTTTGATGACAGATGGGAATCTAAGCTTGATATCACGCATCAGGAATATCAATTGCAAGCCTTTTAGTTTCTCAATTGCTTTCCACACATATTTCTCCCTCTCTGATATCAGGTATAGAGCGGTGGTATGGAACTGGTTATACCCCTAGGCGTCAGCTACAGAAATCATTTAACTTAACAATTAAACACTACTAATCTTTTCTCTATCTTTCAAGTCCTTTGATCATTACTCCACGAAAATTTCCTTATGGAAAAAAAAAAAAAAAGTAATGCACTCAGTCATGGGAAACAGTAAGCTTTAGATATTAATGGGTATCTTTTCTTGTACTAATTAACAGTGAAGTGAGGGTAGAGGGATTGGAGACTCTTGACTATCTTGACAACCTATGCCAAAGAGAGCGCTTCACAGAGCAAGGAGATGCCTTGACATTTGAATCTGAGGTAAATCATTCATTAATTTTTTGAAATCTATTAAGCTGTTTTCTGAGCTTAGGTCTTCCTGTAAATGACAAGCATTTTAGTTCTTGGAACAGATGGAAACTACAGGGAAAAAAGAAGAAACCCTCAAAGCATAAGCATGCAGTTGGTAAAATATTATGCTGATTCCAAGATGCAGAAAAACAATTTCTGCTCTCATCAGCAGAGAAAATTAAACATGTCAATTAGTGTTGCTAGACAAAATATTTAACTATGCATATGGCTGAGTATATGTTTAAGCCTTAATAACAGCTTTTCAATTTGCAGGTGGACAAAGTTTATCTGGGCTCAAGAGATATCATTGCAATCTTTGATCATGAAACAAAACGGACCTTTTTAATACAGAAGGAAGGCCTCCCAGATGTTGGTAAGCTTTTATCACTCTTCAACCCAATCTAAAGCAGTAACATAAGTGTTATAAATCGCATCCACCTGGACAAAACCAAGGTAGTGGAAGATCACTGCAGCTACAACTCAATCCAAACCAAAAACCTGGCCCTGATGTTTAATTCTTTTGCATTTTTTCAGGGGTTTGGAATCCATGGGAGAAGAAATCAAAAACCATGATTGATTTTGGGGATGAAGAATACAAGCAGATGCTTTGTGTCAATGGCGCAGCAGTTGAAAAACCAATCACCTTAAAGCCAGGTGAAGAATGGACAGGCCGTCTGGAGCTCTCAGTTGTCCCTTCAAGTTAATGAAGTGGCCATCATCTTGAACCCCACAACAAGCCTCATCTTCCAAAAAATTGTCAGCAAATAATACAATTAAAGCCCCACACCGCATCTCTCAACCAGAGGCAAAACGAATCTGTTAATTTGTATTCAATTATTTATGGTACTAAGCAAATAATAAGAATTTTGATCACTGTGTCCCAAGTAAGTGGTCATGAAAATGTAAGTTCCTGCAAGTGGAGATCTGTTTTAGTGCTTCTCCATAATAGCAATGATAAGAGTTGTTTTTATCTACCATACTTCTGTCTTACAGACTCTGAAAAAAATGACGGTCAATGCTGCAACAACTAGCAATCAAAATTTCAAAATATATTTTGTTTAGTCTCTTTCTGTTTATATTTCCACCTCTCATATGCATTACCCAGAAAAACGATGCAAAGGAGGATGATCACATATGAAGAGACTAAACAAAATCTAACCAGACCAGGGAAAGCCAGCAGCTCAGGAGTCTAACCAGAATCTTCATTATCTGAAATGTAGGACATTCAGGTGCTATAAGTCCGTGTGATCTTACTGAAAGGATTGAAGGCTTACAAAATCTTCGTCGTGGTTTTGAAACATAATAATGAATGACTCATGCATACTGAAAAATCTGCTCCAACAAAAAGGAATGAAAGAACTAAAAAGGTAATGGCCAGCTGAGCTACTCTTTTAGTCTTTTATCAGAGCCAGGTTTCGATCCTGGGACCTGTGGGTTATGGGCCCACCACGCTTCCGCTGCGCCACTCTGATTGTTGATGAAATCTTGACAAATAAAATATCTAAACTTAACATAAATAGACACAAAAACCCCGATTTCTCCTATTGGGCCAATATTGCGGTTTTGCCCTATGGAAAATAAGCCGATGCCTTTCTTTGCCCTATTTCTGAAGAAACTGAACCGACCAATCAAAAATAAAATTTAAAAACAAAAACTCATTCACAAAACACCATTGATTTTCTTTTCAATGCTTTTAAAAATAAGTACATAATAAAGCACTTATGACGTTGGGATTAGCCAGATAGTTATTCCATTATGTTGATGCAAATTTTGTGTCCACATCCAAAGGCCATGGCTAAGCCGCCCTATCCGATCACTATACTTGAGCAATCACCTTCCATTCCAAATATATTCCCATTCTAAAACGGAAGAGGCCAACTTGATGAAATCAATCAAATCCAAAGTTCTTGCCCAGGATTCACTAGACAATTTCGATATGGTTTCCTCAAATTCCAAACATTGTACCCCCAATAGTCTCAGTTCACTCCTCCTTCCCTTAATTTGACAAATATTCTTTGCTTTCTCACACTTGTCCATTTTATGCACTCGTGCATCAATTATAAGAATGTTGCAACCTTTTTTTTCTTCCTTACTGTCTTTTGTGGTTGGTTCTTTTAATTCCTTTTAAAAATTTTGGTAACGATAATAATTAAATCCTATTCCTTCCTATAAGTAGATGAAATGTCAAAAATTTTGTTTAGAAAAAAAATTATAATCTAAAAATAAAAAATAAAATTACAGATATTAAAATTTAAATTCTATAAATATCATATGCTTAAGAATAATAAGCATGAATAAAAAATGCATTTCTTTAATAAAGTGGGGACCTTTATCAAGCAATTTTGGACAATTACTTTTGAAATTTACTCTCTAAACTTTTGCACACGACAACGACTACTGTTTTTAAAGCTTTTAGATGAGAGCCATAAAATCACGAAAAGGTTGTTATATGTTTGTTGAAGCAGATGGAGACATGCATTAATGCATGGAAGTAGTGGATTAAAAAAAATACCATATAAAATTTACTTTCGTTTTTAATAGGTGAGAGGGGTGAAGATAAATCATTAATAATCCCAACCACCATAAGCACTCTAACTCCGTCCAAATGAGATTAGAAAAAAGATATAAAAGACAGAGAGAAAATGAAAAAAAAAAAAAAGAATAAAAGAAGTTGAATAACTCATCATCAACCTCTTTAATGGATTTTTGTGCTGCCAAGTAATGTATACAATTTTAAGGTAAGATCAATTATAAAGATGATGAGAAGTGGTCAAAGATAGTAATGGGTTGGGTCGGAATAAGTTTTTATTCGTTTTAAACCTGATTTAATTTAATAATAATAAAATTTAAATTCGATTTAATTCAAAATTTTTTTTTATTTTTTTCATATTTAAATCTGATCTGATCTGATATTATATAAATCGTATTCGATTCGATTTGATTATAAATTAATAAAATATTATTTTTTAAATATAATTATATAAATATATACAAATAAAAAATTAAAAAAATAATTAAAAATAATTTTTATATACTATCAAATCAAGTCGAGTCGGGTTTACCTAAAATCTGAACTCGACCTGACTTTGATTTTTTCTTAATATTTTTCGATCCAACTCAAAATTCGATTAAAAAAAAATCAACTCTACGAAATCGAATTGAATCAAAACTCGTCGAAGACAGATTAGGTTGCCAACCCTAAAAGTGATTGGAGGATCAAATGATGAACAATCATGATTCATTAATTAAAAAAGAATGTGCATGAAGCATGTTAGTTTAGGTTAATATTCACTTCTTTTTGCATGTTAGTTTACGTTTTTTTCTTAATTCACAAAAAGTCAAATTGGTGACATGAAAATGGGTTTTTATAAAGATGAGGTTTGATTTTTTAATATTTACAAAGTTTTATTCTTTAATTATTCTTAAACTTGGACTTATTTTATAATAAAAAATATATAAATTATTAATTCTTTTATCACTTATCAGTAAAACAAAATATATAATCCTCAAAAGGTAGGTACGATGAATGTGACAAAGCTTCCAAATGCATTGTTTTTAAAAGGAAAGTTATTTTGATAGGTATGTTTAAAAATAGAAAAAAATGTTAAGATGTCTTATTTCAGCTACTACTATAATATAAGACAATGAAGTGACAAAAAAAGCATGGCATTTAATTAGGATAGGGGTGTAAACAAGTCGAGCCGAGTTAAATAGTGAGAAGTTCGAGCTCGAGTTCGACTCATAATTCGGGGTTCGATACTCGGTTTGAGCTCGATCGAATTTTATTTTTCAAGCTCAAGCTCGATTCATGATCGAATTCGAATTACTCGAGCTCGTTCGATTAAGCTCGATTAATATGTAAAAATAAGCTCGATTCGTATATTCGACAAGAGTTCGATTATTCATGTTCGAATTCGAACTCGAACTTAGACTCAAAATATTTTATTAATTAAAATAATAAAAATATATTTAAATATAAAAGCTCGATTAGGCTCACGAGCTATTCGAATCAGATATAAAAATACTCAAATTTAGTTCGATCGATAAGTCGAACTATTCGAGCTCGAGCTCGACTCGACAATAATCGAACCAAATTCGAATTTTTTTCGAATCAAACTTGAGTAGCTTACGAGTACTAATATATCATTTACACCTCTAAATTAAAAAACTTCACTTGTTATAATTGAGAAAAAAAAAAAGATTAATACTCATGGTAAATAATATTTAACTTATTATTTCCTTATTTTGGTTAAAAAAAGAACTTTTTACCAAATGTTAGGAGTAGTATTTTAGTAAAAAAATACCTATTTATAATTTTTCAAGCTCCTAAACTTTTTAATTTTTATTTATACTATAATTTTAGTTTTTATCACTTTTTTATTTTCTTTATACTATAATTTTAGTTTTTTTTTTTAATTTTTTTGAGTTAATATTTTATATACCATCAATATAAATTTTTAATTACATAAACGAAATTAATAAGATAACATATATTCTTTATGATATTTAAAAAAATAAAAAAAATAAACTAAAAAATGAGATATGTGTTACTTTAATAATCTCGTTTATGTAATTAAAAATTTATACTAATAATTTGTCAAATATTAATTTATTTTTTCTTAAATATTTCCTAACTAAAAGTTTATTAGTTAAAATAATTAAAAAAACTATGAAATATAGATAGTTAATTTATAAATTTGAATTTTAAAAATTGAACAAAAGGATTAAAGAAAAAAATTATGAAGAAATAAGAGAATTATTTTAACTAATGAACGTTTAAAATTCTCACTCGCCCGATCCAGCATTAGGGTCTAGATCGACCTTCTCTCACCCCATCTCTTCTCTCTACGCTCGAGCTTTTTTCTTCCTCTCTTCCCCTTGTCCGTTTCCACCATCATCTTCCATTAATCCGTCCACCTCTTCCTCAACCCCGTCCTTCCCTTAACTAACGCAGAACCGTTTAGGATCAAAACTCCCAAAAAACTTTTTAAATTACATATTTAAGATAAAGCTTAAACTTATTTAATTTATTTATTAGTGAGATTAGTATTAATTTTATCAATTATCACTCTTGTAATAAAAGAAAACACTTTTAGAAATCCAAAATGAACGGCTAATGATCCTAAAACACGTAGGACCGCACACCCCACTTGTAGTCATCGTTAACAGACGACAGAACAGAACGGCCAAAATTTAATGATTGGCCACCTGTCCGCATCTTAAAATCGCCACGTCACCAACACACTACATCCACTTTAAAATCACCGGTTTTCTCTCCACCTGTCAGTTGCCTTATGAAAATCCCTACCCCATATTTCTTCCCCTAGCCCCTCCATTTAATGTCACCAAAAATATATAGCCGTTGCTGATTATCAAAAAAAAAAAAAGAAAAAAAAAACGCAGCAAAAGCTTCATATATTTCCTATATATATACTTATTTTCTTCTCTATTAGCTTCAAATCTTTTTATTTGGTTCCAATTCTGAAAAAATTATAGCAATTTTCTGCTTTTTAAAAAAAGAAAATTCATAATTTCTTGCTTTTTTCAGGTATTTCTTAATGATTACTATTCCATTTTCACATGCTTTGGATGCTACTTTAGCCAGAGAGAAATAATCATAACAATTTGCATTTTCACCTCCTTGGTTTTTGCTTTCTCATTCTCTCATTCTCTGCGGGTTGATAAATGAAAAAGGGAGAGTTCTTAAGTGTTCCAGTAAGCAAAGAACTGAAAGAAGTGAACTTGGAAGCAGAAGAGTTTTGAGGAGTGCAGATCTAGAAAACGAGGTAAGCGTAAAAGTAGCAAAATTTTTTCACTACTTTTTGATTCTATAGAGGTAGTTTGATTTTGGGTTTGGTTTGGATTTCGTTTTGAATTCACCATTGGATTCAAGTTTTCAACTTTTTGTTTTTGGTTGGAAAGTTAAAGGAAGAAATAACAAAAAGAAAAGAAAGAAGCTGGGTCTGAGTTTTATACTACATTTAAAGAATTGAAATTGGGTTTTTGGCAAGGTCTCTTTTTTGACTAAAGACACCTCACTCAAAGCCTGCAAGATAATTTTTTTTAATGTGAAAATCCCCAGAGCCCGCCACTACTTTTTTCGACAATAATCTTGGGAATCCGACCTTTTTTTTCTCTCTCCCTAGATCCTTTGTTACTTTACATTCTGTTTCTCCAACGTATTTTAAATTATTTTGAATACTTTTTTTTTGTTTTCTATTGCTTTTCAGCTTAAAACCATAGATGTAAGGAGGGAACCGGGAAAGTAGCAGAAACAGCTCGTTTTTTGCTTCAGTTGTTGGTGAGACTTGAGAAAGAAGAGATGAAAGCTTTATACATTATCTCTTGGATTTGCTTCTTGGGTTCGGTTTTGTTTCAGGGAAATGCAGACCTAGTTGAAGATAAGCAGGCATTGCTTGATTTTGTTAACAACCTGCGCCACTCTCGTTCTCTAAACTGGAATGACACTTCTTCGGTTTGTAAAAACTGGATAGGAGTGACTTGTAATGCTGATGGCTCTCAGATAATAGCCGTTAGATTGCCTGGAATCGGATTACATGGCCCTATTCCTGCCAATACTCTTAGCCGCCTCTCGGCTTTGCAGGTTTTGAGCCTTAGATCCAATGGTATCAGTGGTCACTTCCCTTCTGATTTCTCAAATTTGAGAAACTTGTCATTTCTTTACCTCCAATACAACAACTTCTCTGGTCCATTGCCGGTGGATTTCTCTGTTTGGAAGAATCTAACTATTGTTAATTTGTCCAACAATCTATTTAATTCGAGTATTCCTAGTTCACTGTCGAATTTGAGTCACCTTGCGGCGTTGAATCTTGCACACAATTCACTTTCTGGTGAAATTCCTGATCTGAATTTGCCTAGCTTGCAACAGATAAACTTGTCCAACAATAATCTCACCGGAGTTGTTCCAAAGTCGCTTTTAAGATTCCCGAGTTTGGTATTTGGAGGTAACAACATTTCTTTTGAAAGTATCCCTCCTCAAACATCCCCGTTTGTCACACCCTCTAGTGAAGCATTTCAGACATCCAAGAAGTCTGGGAGGCATGGAGAAACTGCATTGTTTGGAATAATAATTGCTGGTTGTGTTCTGGCCATTGTGGCGTTTGCATTTCTTATAATTGTTTGCTGCTCAAGAAGAAAGAGTGAGGATGTGTTTTCACGGAAGTTGCAAAAGGGAGAGATGTCACCAGAGAAAGAGGTCGCGAAGAGTCAGGATGCAAACAATAGATTGTTCTTTTTTGAGTGTTGTAATTACACATTTGATTTGGAGGATTTGTTGAGGGCTTCTGCTGAAGTATTGGGGAAGGGGACTTTTGGTATTTCTTACAAGGCAGTGCTAGAGGATGCAACCACAGTGGTAGTGAAGAGGTTGAAGGAGGTTATTGTTGGGAAGCGGGATTTTGAGCAACAGATGGAGGTTGTTGGAAGTATTAGACATGCGAATGTGGTTGAGCTGAAGGCATATTACTACTCAAAAGATGAAAAGTTGATAGTTTATGATTATTACAATCAGGGAAGCGTTTCTTCTATGTTACATGGTATGTTGCTTTATCCGCTCTCCTGTTTCTTTGCTATAATATAATTAATTGCATTTTATCTGAAGCGGTGGAACTGGAAAGCAAACATTTATTGTTTGCAATTTACTTTCTGATGCTATGAGTTCATTCCCCTGGGTTTTCTCCTAGCTGTAACATTGAGTGATCACTCTGTTCTTGCTCAACAGCAAATAATTAATAAATAAGAAAAGCACTTAAGATGATATTATGCTTTTGTATTATTAGATATCATAATTCGATACATGATGCTTTATTTTTCTGAGAAAGCTGCTATATCTCACCACTTCACTTATTGGAAAAATGTGTCCTGTTTTAATGTTTTTGTGGTTTAGGAATGAGGCAATAGTAGAAATGATGATTCATAGATAAGAACTAATAATTAATGAAAACATTTTGATTGAAACCACAAAAAAAAAAGGGAAAGAAAATTACTAGATCAATATTGTCATGTGTCTGGTTTTCAACATATCAACCTGTTTTCATTGATGAAATCAGATATCTTTCAGTTTAGAAATGTCCCTTGCTGAGATAGGATTTCTTTTAGAAATGCCTCTCATCTTTACCAATGCTATACAAAATGGGATGAAGGTGAAATCCTGATGCTCCACTGTGTCTGATAGTATATGCTACACTCCTGCATAAACTAGACTTGGTGTGAAGATTGTCATGCAAAAAATGAAATTTCTGAATCATTAATGTTGAACTGAGCTAGTAAGAGAGAACATATAGTTAATCAATTCCCAGTTAGTGAAGACAATCAATATCTCATCCTTGGCTTCTGTTTCATGGAACACTGTATGTTCAATCTTTTAATTCCACTGTCTCTGACTTCGGTCTTCATCAATATATAAAAGATCGAATAGCTTCTAGATTTATTCATAATGCAAGTGCCTTTGCAGATAAGAGAGGAGAGGACAGAATTCCTCTAGATTGGGATGCCAGAATGAAAATAGCAATTGGAGCAGCAAGAGGCATTTCTCGCATACATATGGAGAATGGTGGCAAGTTCGTTCATGGTAACATCAAGTCCTCAAACATTTTTGTCAACTCCCAACAGTATGGTTGTGTGTCAGATCTTGGTCTGTCAACTATAATGAGCGCACTAGCCCCTCCCATCTCCCGAGCTGCTGGTTATCGTGCCCCTGAAGTGACTGACACCAGAAAAGCTATGCAACCTTCTGATGTCTATAGCTTTGGAGTGGTCTTACTTGAGCTCCTTACGGGAAAGTCCCCTATCTATACTACTGGTAGTGATGAGATTATCCATTTGGTCAGGTGGGTTCATTCAGTAGTTCGAGAGGAGTGGACAGCTGAAGTTTTCGACATTGAACTGATGAGATATCCAAATATAGAAGAAGAGATGGTGGAGATGTTACAAATAGCAATGACATGTGTTGTGAGGATGCCGGAACAGAGACCTAAAATGCCAGAACTAGTTAAAATGATAGAAAACGTCAGGCGGATTGATTCTGAGAATCGGCCATCTTCAGGAAACAGATCTGAAAGTTCAACACCACCGCAACAGTGATTGGGAGAGAATTACAAGTCTCACAATGAGTCACCAAGTCCCTCTATTAGTCTTTTTTTCAATTCTTTTTTTTTTTTAAAGTTCGTTTTGCCTTTTTCAATGAACAAATTCTGTTGAGACTTTTATTAGTCTGATCCTGTTAAGGTTGAGTTGGGAGGCTATGAACGTGCTAAGATACGATCTCTCTCTGCGTCTATGAATCTTTTTCGTTTCTTTGTTACTAAATGAAAAGAGCATTTTATATGAAAGATAATTGCACATTCACCCGTTGCTGTCGCATTGGTTAGCATTTCACCAAGGAATGACTCTAATATCATTTGTTTGGACGTTGGAGTGCTCGACACCGAACCATATCCGTATCATTGTTCTCAGCTTTTACGTTGTTGCATCAAAGAGATCCATTAGGAAATGGAAAATATGAAAATGGGGGTTGAAAATTTGACAAGAGATGAAATGAGAGACACTGTTTCTTAATTAGCTACTTGATGTTGGGATTGGGTGCTGGAGTCGTTGGTGGGACATTTATGTTCCTGTCTTAAGATAAACCTCAATTGCAATTTGCAACATTCCTTCAACTGAATGACCTCCAAAGTACCAAGGCATTGAAGATATCAATGGGACCCTGAGTCACAATGTCTGCCATGAAAATGCTCACCTTATACCAGAGGAGTGGACTAGAGGGAGTTAGGCCCAAGCCAAGCACTGTTATGTTGTCCAGGTCTTCCACATTGACATTGCGACCGCAAGTAACAGTAATAAAGTAAAATTATTTTATTACAGAATACTGAATTCTATATTTTCAATAATCTAAAATAAAAAAAATTTCGTTAGAATTGTGTGGGGTCCACGAAGATAGTCAGAGAGAACGCAGGACATAAAAATTTTGCCTTTTTTTTTTTAATTATTATTTAAATCTAATTTTCTCGGACCTCCGCCTCTGAACTTTTTTTTCTTCCGCTATTTTCAGCGACTAACAAACAAACGGTCGCCCAGGAAAGGAGGATCTCTTAGGTACTTTTCTCTCCGATTTCTCCAATGACCTGTCAACTTTTTTTTATTTGTTTCTCATTAATTTAAAATTTTCGAGTTAGCTTCGCTGAAGCTAAAGGCGATTTAGCTTGGATTTGAGTTTCTTTCTTTTTTTAAAAAAAAAAAATTGTTCGTTTTAGGGTTTAGGCGATGGCTTCAAAGCGGATCTTGAAGGAGCTCAAGGATCTCCAGAAAGATCCTCCTACCTCTTGCAGCGCAGGTTCAATTTCTTCTCTCTCTTTCTTTCCAAGGCACGATTTTTTTTTTTTTTTATTTCTTGTGGTTTTTCTTATCATCCTTTTAGTTTTTTAGTTCTGTTTCCATGAAACTTTTCTCAACATTTTTAAAATTTTTTTTTTAATTTTTGCTCTTTTAGATATCTACTTTTTGTTTCTCTAAACCACGACATGAGATAATTATTGCTGCATAATTGAATTTTGAGCTGTATATAATGGATCTATACTTATTATTAGGGGTATGATTTTGACCATGATGATTTCATTGATTCAAAATGCAATATCTTTCTTTCTTTTTTTTAAAGTGTTAGGTTCACATCATTGGATTCCATTTGACTCAAGATTGCTAAGACTTTTTTTTCATTTCTTATTAATTGCTATTCATATCCATGTTTGTTAAGTCAGCATGCGGTCATACAAACTAGTTATAGGTGAAGTCGTAAGGAAATGATTAGCATGTGTTGCAGAAGAATTTTTCCGTGTATTGCGTATAAGAACTCATCATTGCATCATCTTTTCTTTCAAATGTTCTAAAATGATTAAGGAGTGCTACATCTTATATTTTCTCAAGGCAAATAAGAAGAAGAGTGAGCATTTTATTTAAATTTTATTTGGGAAAAGAATTTGATAAGTTTACTTTCAGATCGGTTATTCCATCTAACTGATGTTTTGCTTCTTTTTATCATTGAAATAAGGCCCTGTTGCTGAAGACATGTTTCACTGGCAAGCAACTATTATGGGCCCTCCTGACAGTCCATATGCCGGTGGAGTGTTCCTTGTCACCATTCATTTCCCTCCAGACTATCCATTTAAACCACCCAAGGTACGTAAATGTGTTCCTTACCATCTAGTTTTCATTCTTTCCTGCTTCACTGTGTATTGTGTATTTGTACCTTTTTTGACAATGTATTTAACTGTAATTGACTGTCTTTTTCTTTTAAAAACATGCCATCATGTCTCTTAAGGGTGTGTTTGGTGTACAAGGTTATGATAAGATAGGATAAGATGATATTATGAATAGGATTAAGTTAAATAATGTTATCATATCTTGTGTTTGATGTGTGCAAAGATTTTGATAAAATAATTTTATTTATTGGTAAAAATTATCCTTCCTCAAAGTTTATGCAATTTGTATTTTTGAAGTCATTTTTAAGAGTATAATAGGACATGTAAGTTTAATCTCATGGATTAAAAATAACCCTCTCCACTTTGGGAGGATCAAATCATCCTATGCCAAAAGAATGGTTAATCTTCTTGGCAATCCTATCCTTTTCTTTAGATACAAACCGAACATGATATAGAATGATTATCATCCTATCCTACTCATCATCCTATGCACCAAACATGACCCAAGTGTCTTGAATAAATTTGCATAGCACTCCATATACTGCAAATTCATTATTTCAACAAGTTTATTTTTTTTATAACCATCTATGCAAGTGTTGTAGACTCCCATTGTTATCTCCTCAGAAATCCAATACAGCTGTTCTTTTAATGTGGTGAATGTTCATACCTTTTCCCATTTTAGATTTCAACGTTTGGAGGGATATGTATTAGCATAAATGTTTAAAGCATTCATGTTATATAGCTAATTCCTTGCTGTGAATAGTCTGTGAGCAAGGTGTCTCTACAGGGTAAGTGGCTTGTGTAAATGTTGCTTGGCATCAAAATGAGAAATGCTAATTCTACTTGATTGCCTTTTAGCTTTTATTAGTTTGTTCTGTTGCACAATTTTTTTGTCCATAGTGCATGTATACATGCACAGTGGTTCATGCACATATATGCTGAGGGTGGAATGGTTTAGTTTATGTGTATTGTTAGGTGGTTTTCGGTGCCAAAGTTTACATGATATATTTTTATTTTTTACTTTTGTAAATAGTATCTGGTAAGCCTTCTCTGTTACATGATATAGATATTTAGTTACGGCTCATCACATTATCTATATACTTAGCTAAACAAAATATATTGTGCATGGATGCTATGGGAATATATTTATAATTTATGTGATCATGATGATGCTCATATATTGAAGATGGAATAGTATCAAATTTATTTTCAAAGAGAATTTTATTGTAACCGATGGACAATGTCTTGTGAATGCTGAGCGAGACTCTGCTAATTCTTGTAAATCATATGGTGAAGTTATGTCATGCTTTTTTCCATCTTAGTGGCCTTATAACATCTTTTGTTATGCTATACTGTTTTTTCTTCTTTTATGATTCTTTTTTCGACTTTTTTATATATATATTTTTCCTTCCATTCAGGTTGCATTCAGGACAAAGGTCTTTCACCCAAATATTAACAGCAATGGTAGCATTTGCCTAGATATTTTGAAGGAGCAGTGGAGCCCCGCTCTCACCATATCCAAGGTTATTGTTCAACACTCCTAACTGCCTTGTAGTATATACTGTCTTTTAATTTGAATATATATTACCCTGTTATGTCATCTATCAACCATTGTTTTAAAACAATTAAAAAAATGCGCTGGTTTAAAACGAAAGGTTATAGCAAGCCTTTAAAATTTAGCATTTCATCTACTGGCCAAGTAGCTTGCATCATGGGTCATTGCTATTTTATATTTGGTCATCCTGGTTTAGATTTTTTTCTCTCACGAAATATTTGGTGGCCTGGTTTATTGGTATTTAGGTGTAGGGATGTGTTCTTATTTTTATTTTGATTCTAGGTGTTGCTCTCAATCTGCTCACTCTTGACGGATCCAAATCCCGATGACCCGTTGGTGCCAGAGATTGCCCACATGTACAAGACCGACAGGAGCAAGTATGAGACGACTGCTCGGAGCTGGACCCAGAAGTATGCAATGGGTTAATGTACTGCTATGTATGTAATAGGAGGGCTTCATTCCCTGTGGCTTTGGTCTTTAAATTAATATGTATGAATCGATGAATCAGTTGTGTGATCTGTCTCCACTTTATTTAGTAGACCAAGCCCTCTTTAAAACACATTTGCCGCGTTAATTGTTTGTATGGAAATTATCTTGCAAACTTAAAGCCCCCACTGTTCCAAAAATCCCCGTTTTCAATCTTCCTTCTGGAAAAAGCTAATCAGGTTCAGCTGCTATAACTCTGGCTTCAACGCGTGGGCTGTAAAATGCGCAGCATTAAATTCTGAATCTTGACGTTACTGGTGGGATGATTAGATAGTGTTGAAAGCAAGCAGCTCCACTGTAACTGTTCTTCCTTTCTTCTACCTTCTGTGACAACCAAATGCCACTAGCAGTCAAGCAGTGGCCGGCAGATCTTGTGACTCTTAATCAGAATCGTCCAACTTTGGGCGTTCTTGCCAACATTATCTAAGCTCCGGAAAGGCCCTTCCCTTTCTATGCATTTGCTGGAATCTATTGTTGCGTATGCTGACAATCCATGTCATGTTTGTGATATCTAAATGTGCAGACTGCAGAAGTTATATGGTGGGCTTTAAATCGGTCGGTTTTGTTTGATTGCCAGCACAGAGAACTGAGGCAAGAGCAAAGATATTGGCCCATCCCATTGCCTGGCTAGCCAGAATGTTTTTGTGGGCATGCACTCCAGCCCATTGTCAGTTGTCTCTTTATTTTTTTTTATCATACAAGTCTGAGCAGACACAGCAAATTCTTTTATAGACCCAAATTTTTACAAGCAGGTTATAGAATGGCTCAAGAAAATTTTCTGGTGTTGGAAAAACAACTGGAGAAAGACAATCCTGAGATTAATTCCATATTAAATTTCTAGAATCTACATTTCCCTTTTAATTCTATCCTACTCTCTACCAGCTGAAAAAAAAAAAAAAAAAAAGAATGCTAAAGCCGGTAGGATACTACATCCAACCAACATAAACAATAGACCCACACATCAGATTTTTTTCCTTGAAAAAACGCAGATTTTTTCAAGTCGTTTGGGAGTAAATTTCATCAGGTTTCAACATTAATTATGGTCGATTGTACTCTTTTTTTGCCTTTTTGTTGTTCTATTCTACCATCCAAGTAAATTTATTTGTGGTTAGTAATGAATGTTCCTCCCTAAAGCAAACACCAAAAGATAGAAAAATAAAAAAGGCTTAACTTTGCTCTGTGATAATGTTAATTGAGAGAACACCAGGGTTGTGAATTTTTTCTTTTGGTTCTTTCATTATCAAATCTAACCCTAAATGGGGCTAACAACTGACACGTACAACTGAAAACTGATAAAACAAATAAAAAACACTCCAAATTCAATGTATTTTGTACATAAATGA